AATTTCCTAAAAGGATGGCATTTGCTACCTTCACCCAGGTACTGGGCATCCTACCTGAGCTCCCATAGCTTAACTGCAGTATTGTGTGCTGGTTAGTAGTTAAGGGGCTTGGGGACCAGGTGGGGGACATGGATGGATGGGAGATGAGAGGTGATCTGGTACAGGGAACTCTGCTTCAGGTTTCTGGAAACGTTAGGATGGCCGGATTGGACAAGATGGGTCCATCCCCAGAGTCACGGAGAAGGGCCAAAAGCTATGGGCAGATGTGGCTGCTGTGGCCCTGTAGCCTGCACCGCCTGGCCAGCTCAGAGTACTCACAGGTCAAGGTGCCCCGGCCTGGGGAAAGGCTGATAGGGCTCTCTGTCTCCTCCCTAGGCGTCTGAGTACAACCTGGACCAACCTCGCTATTGGGGTTGTCATTGCCTCTTCTGGGCTTGCCCTGTGTTTTACCTCATTCCATATGGGATTATTGCCTTCCACCTCATGAGTTGTCCTCTTGACATCTGCAAAGACATGGAGGGGCTGGCATTGATGGCAGGAAATACTTCAAAGTCTAGGTTTGTGTGAGTAAAGAGAAGCAGGACTCTCTAAGAAAACTTCAGGTCTACATTGGCAGATGTGATATAGCACTGATTCTTTCTTACTCTAGGGGTTTCAAAATTTCTCACTTTTTGTAAGAGTGACATCACCCCATGTGACAGATAATGTTATGTATTCATTTGATTTTCTTTCTGGTACATAATTCCCAGCCATCTTGCAGCCAGGTGGGGCCATGTGACTCATTCTGGTCAATGGAATTTGGGAGCCATATTCACTGCTGCCTGGACTGGCTGCCAGAATTTCCCATGAGTGTCTCCATTCTCTTCTCCACTCCCCATATCCACCCTCATGATTTATTGGGAGGATGGCGTCTGGTGACTTTGCAGCCACAAACAGAAAGCAGCTGGTCTCTAAAGTACTATTTGGAGGAGTCATTCAGGATTGCTGCCTGATCAGCACCGTCAACGCAGGACTTGACGTGAGCAAGAGGTAAATTTTTATTGTCTTAAGGCACTGGGATTTAAGGGTTCAGTTGTTACCAGAGCAAAGCCTAGTGTACCCTAAGACATCCCAAAACATCTCTAGTGGGTTGAAAGCTCTTCATCCACTAAAATCCGCCTTTTCCAGAAATATCTTTAACAAAGAACAGCCTATAATCCTGCAAAGAACCTCTAAATTGCCAAATTTGAGATTGTTTTCAAGGAAAGAATGTGAGAGAGGAGACAGAGC